AAGCGGACACCAAAGGGGAAAGGCCAGCGGGGGCGGGGGGGCGGGCGGCGGGCCGGCGGCGCGGGCGTCAGCGTTACGTGGGGCCGGGGGAGATGCGCCGGGCCCCGGCCCCCCCGCCCCCGGCCCGGCCCCCGCCCCCTCCCCGGTCCCCCGCCCCCGGCCCTGGCCCGCATTGTGTGCGGCGGGAGGCGGCCCGGCCATTAGCATGCGGGGGGCGGCGCGGCGGGGCTGGGAGCCGCGCGGGAGCGAGAGCGGGAGCGGGGCTCTGGCTCCGGGGACAGGGAGCTGGGGACCCCGGGAGCCGCGAGAGGCGGCCTCCAGGGGCGGGGTGCGGGCCGTTTGGAGACTGGGGGCGCTGTCGGAGGGAAGGAGGGAGGGAGCGGGGGTGGGGCGCACGGATGATTCCAACAGGAGACTGGAAGAGATTTTGAAAGGTCATCTCGTCCTTCCCCCAGCCTCCAAGCGGACTGCCCCTCCCACCCTAAACCCGGACATACCAGGGAAGGAGCTGGCTCTGCCGCTCTTTCTGCCCCAACATGCACAGACTCGGGAAGTTCTTCCTGGGGTTTTATCTCAAAGCCTCTCCCTTACAATTTCTGTCTCTCTTTTGGGGGAGGAGGAGGGGCGATTATAGAGATAGTTAATGTCTGCCGTATAAGAAACATTATTAAAGTTACTCTCCGGTCCTTTCTCTTCTTGATAAACAATTCCTGCTCCTTCCTCTCGAATTCTATTTTTCCATTCCTTAAGTCACTTTAATGGCTCTTCAATACAACAAATATTTACTGAGTGTTTACTAAGTACCAGGCACCAATGCTCAGCGCCGTGGGGAATGAACACATGAGGGGAATGTAGTACCCTCTCTGGAGGAGACTGTAATCCAGACAGGGACTACAAATTTGTAAGTAGGATACTTAGATTTAATCAATATTTACCGAATGCCTGTCCACATATTTAATAGTATATAATCTTTCTAATAACACTGTGAAATATAATTGGTCTGCATTTACAGGTAAGGGAAATGAGGCTAAAAGAGTCGCTTTCCACTGGCCTACCAGCTCAGGGATACTCAGCCCAACATCTCACATTCTATCAGGCCATTGCCACAAAATAAAATTAATGTACATAAGGATCGAGGAGGGGGTAGACACACAACAGCTCTCAGGGTCCCTTTAAATGTGATTTCCACTCCCCAGGAAAGAAGAGTGGGCACAGTGTTCCAGTGAGTGTTGGCCCAGCACTGAGCAGGGCAGAAGTGGCTTACAAAGGCCACTTGCCTCCCAGGACCCTGCCTCCTGGTACTAACTCCTGGGGGTCTTCTGGCTCAGTCGTCTTCTGTCATCAATAATAATAATAATAGCCACTAACATTTATTGAGCATGTATGTGCCAGGTGCTGGACTGAGTTGGTTCATATGCATTTTCTCTTTTAATACTTAAGGCAATCTCTTGAGATTGGTATTCCCTTTATTGATAAGGAAACAGCGAGATTAAGTACCTTGCCCAAGGTCACCCAGGTAGATCTGGGCTTTGAACATAGGTCTCATTGCCCCCAGACCTCAGGCTCTGCACCAAGATGGACTTTTCCTATTTTTGATGTACAGAATATATATTTGGGCTCATGTGATTCTGCTTATTGTATGAATAAATGACCCCAGCTTAGCTTCTGAATAAGCCCTGTAGTATATGAGGTACATCAGTATGACCTCATCAGCACCATTAATGGTTATTATGCACCTACCCTGAGTCAACAACCCTTCACAGTCATATTATTATCCCCCTTTTAATCACTCAGTTTCAACAAACTGAGGTTCAAATTGGTAGAATAATGTATCCAAGGCCACACAGGTCGGAAAGTGGCAGAGCTTGCCTGACTGCAAGGCAACTTCTGTCCCTCAAAAATATTAATTGTTGCAATAGTGTCCTTCCCAAAACTGACCATTTAAGGACCATCTTCTATACATGTCTAGCTGCAGGTTATCACTGAGTCAAAAGCAATCCCTACTATAAATAGAGCTCTCCATCCACTTAGTCAGTGTCCGATCCAGAGTAAATCCTTCAAGAAAGGAATGAGAGAGGAGAAACTGTCCAGAAAGTGAGAGACAGGAAGCCAGGTCTTGGCTGGTCTTGGGACAAATCTTCAAGCAGTAATGATGGGACTAATTCAGAGGGTAATGTGGGATTTCCCTAGGGAACAGCAAGTAATTTGAGGAGAAAGCCCCCTAAAAAAAGGAGAAAGATTAGATGGAAATGGGGGAGAAATTGGGGCCCAGGGTGGTAGTGTCCATGTATAAGGTGAGTGGATGAGGTGAGTGATCAGAAGAGGAACCCAGGATGGGCAGAGATGGGGTCAGTAGGAAACAGGAACAGAATGAGTTAGGGCTGGGTGTCTTGTGGAGTGAACTGAGGCTGGTATCTACCCAGCACCACTCCCTGGATCCTGAGGCCCTCATAGGGACCTTTGCCCCACCACACCCCAGCCCTGATAGCCTGTCTCTGCCAGGACAACTTTGTCTTCTGCTCTGAGCTACCAGGCCCTACCAGGAGCTCCAGGGCCAGCTGGGACCCATCCCTTTGGAGCAGCTGCTTCAGACTAGGTAAGTGTGAGGCCCTGAGCCTCAACTCCCTGGATATTGGAAGCAGGCAGAGGGGCAGCTGAAAGAGATGTTGCTGTATGTCCTGTCTCCTGATAGGTGCCATAATGAATTTTTCCCAGGCTAGGAAGCACTGAGCTCTAGTGGTCAAGGGAGCCATGGAGGAGAGAGCTGGTCAGCGAGAGCAAGACAGACCCAGCCTTCAAGACAGACCCAGCCTTCGTCTGGAAAAGCTACAGCACTGGGCCAGGCACAGGCAGAGTGGGCACCTCTTGGTGCTGGCGGTGAGGCCAGGCTGCCCCACCCCAACTTGTACCCCAGTTCAATTCCACCCATGTTTAGTGAGCACTTATCATCTGTCTGAAATTGTGCTAGGCTCTGAGTGGGAGGCGGGTGGAGGAAACAGAATAAACAATGCAAGACCCTTAATCTCCAAGTAGCTTCCATCATGTGGGGAAAACACATAGTTGAGTAACTGAACTATGACATGAGGCAGAAAAAATTAAATGATATCCCCTTCTTTTATGGCTCTTGGTTGACTACTCTCCACCACTTGGGAGGAAGGAAGGGAATCCCTAACAGTTCTCCTCCAACTACCCTGCACCCGGCCTCCAGGTGAGCCAGCTATGGCTGGCAGTGGCTGTGGTGCCCTTTGCTATCTCAGTTGCCTGCCTGAACTCTGCTTGTCACATGGCCACAGCACTGCCACTTGGGCCTGGCGTAATGGTAAGAACTACCATACGGGAGGGTGGAAAGAAGGTCCTGGGGGCCCCTCCCTAATGGGCCAGAGCTCACCACTTGCCTTTCTCATCATTCAGGGTCTCCTCACTGGGATTGTAACCCTTGAGCTGCGCAGAGCACCCCGTCTCTGGAAGGTGAGAGGGGAAGAGAATGCAGTACTATTCTCCCACCCCCTAAAACACACACACACCTCAGCCCAGGAAGTGGATTTCTAACTGTTAACTGTGTTAGTTATCTGCCCGTGACTGGTCTAAAAGACTGAGGAGGGAAACAAGAAAGTTAGAGGGCTGATGGTCCCGTTTGGAGGTGGAAGAATAGGAGCTGTTTTTTTTTTTTTTTGGGTTACGCGGGCCTCTCACTGTTGTGGCCTCTCCCGTTGCGGAGCACAGGCTCCGGACGTGCAGGACCGGGGCACAAACCCGTGTTCCCTGCATCGGCAGGCGGACTCTCGACCACTGCGCCACCAGGGAAGCCCAGGAGCTGAGTTTTGTTTTCAGCTAGGCTACAGGTGGGGCTTGGGGTTGCAGTGAGTCCCCTAGGCTGGGCAGGGCTGAATTAACTCACTGGCAGGTGCACGCCATGATGCTGTTCAACACCTTCAATCTGATCTTGGGCTTCATCGCGTTGGTGGTCGAAGTGGCGAAGACAGCCTTGATGTCTGCCCCAACTGTCCCCTCCCAGGTACAAGTGAATAAAGGAGAATGTGGGGGGATGAGGAGGCCAGAGGAGGGGAAAGGGCAGGGGCAAATAGGTGCAGGGTACCCTGCAGCACACCCTCAGCCCTATCTACCTACAGCTAGCCGGTTTGCTGGTGCTGGAGCTCAGTGCTGAGGCCTTCACCCTAGGCGGAGTGCTGGTCTCAGCATACTCCCTGTTCCTGCTGAGCCAGAGGAAGCCAGGATGCTGCTGGAGCCAGAATCTGCACTACCAGGAGCTGCAGGAGGTACTGAGGGCAGGGAGGAAGCAGCTAGCTAGCAGTTCATTTTTTCACTGGCTATCCTGGTCGATGGTACTTAAGGGAAAACAATGGGGCAGCCCGGAAAGGAAGGGGTCCTAAACTGAAACTGGTTGGTTTTCTGGCTTTGGACATTTCTCCCCTAGTGGTGGGTAAGAGTGAATCGGGTATCTAAATGGGGCTAAAAATGTGGGAGAGCATTAGAAATCTGCGTAAATATTGGAAGGGCTATGGGAACACGAGAAAAAAAAAAAATGCGAGAGGAGGAAGCTGCATCTGTCTGGGATTCCTCATTTCTCACCCTTATAGTTTGCTTGCTTCACACCTGTCTTGTTTTCAGGGTCTCTCAGAATTAGAGGAAGTTCCTGATTTGGAGACTGGTCCCACGGTGGCTAGCAGAGCAAACAGAACAAATAAGTGAGCTGGCAAGAGGAAGCAGGCAGGTGTTGCTTTCCTACCCGGCGGGAGCATTCTCCAGACCCTCCTGCAGCCCATTCCACCGAACTCAAACTAGATGGAGTCCCCTGAGACCTACTTGAAGTCTGGTGGAGTGCCTTCAATCTTCATTCACACTAGGCCCCTTTCTTTTTCCTCCCCTGCTGCGGAAAGCAATACCTAGACCGAGTTTTAAACCACCTCACCGCCCTGAAAATCTGCCCGCCTGCAGGATATCCTTAAACCAACTTTCAGCTAGACCCATTTTCTCCCTTCTATCCTCACCCTCCTTCCCCACTGCCTCCCCATCCTGCTTCACATATGCCTCATTTCACTGTTTCCAAGATTTCCACCTTTCACAATCCCATCCACTAAAAACCCGTACACGCCCACTCTCTGAAATCAATTCACAACGGGTGCTTTCGTTCTCTCGCTTCGATCCGGTTCCTTTCTACTCTAGCGGAGACTACAAATCCCAGGATGCCCAGCTACCCTGTGGCCCGCTGGGAAATAAAGAACCTTCCCTCCGCGGTAGGGGCGCTGTGCATCGGCTAAGTGACGCGAAACCCTGGAAGTCGGGGCTTAGCTGAGAGTTTCTTCGGACGCGACCACTGGCCCAGCGTGCAGGGAGGAGCCGGACGGGCTATGCTGCGCGGGGGCGCCACCACCCCAACCTCGGTAACGGAGAGCTGATTGTGGGTCTACATTCCTACATCCGGCAGCTTCGGAGACGGGCAGGGGCTGAGGGCTGGCCGTCGGCAGAGCTAGGGTTTCCCAGATGCTGTCGCCGTGCCCCCTCCCACAGTGCCCAGGTGCAAAGTTCTGAGACTTGGAGCGCGCGCGAGAAAGGGGTTGGAGATGATGAGTCAGAAGCCCAAAGCACTTCTCATCCCCCTCCCCCGGGGCCTACGCGCCTGAGGAGGACGGACTGGCTGGGCAGACGGGTGGACTGGGCAGGAAGAGGGAGGGACACGGCGACCCGACCTAAGGTTTCCCGCCTCTTGCGAGCACGCCGGTGTAAGGAGCCCGCGTTGCCGCCACCCTTTCTCTCCAAGGTGGGAGCGGGACTGCGCAGGCTCAGCCTCTCGGCAGACCAGCCGACCTTTGATCCCAGCTGTGGGGCGGTTGCTGAAGTTCTGGTTTTGCTCAAACCCCACCGTTTATGATCTTTGCAAGTGTGCAAGGATGGCAGGCTCAGGTGGGCTTGAGAAAAGCCCAGGAAAACGGGGGCACCCTGTAGCACCAGCCCGACAGCTTACTAGCGGCTAGAAAAACTAGAAGTTGACCGGAGCTGCAGTACTAAGAGAACTCACCCCAAATTCACATAGTGCCCAGGATGGGTGTGCGCCTCACACTCATTTTTGTTCCCATTTGAGAAGGCTTCTTTCCCTAGAGAATGCTGCTTCTCCGGGCTTAGCCAAGCCCAGGCACCAGTGAGGAAAGAGCGCAGCCTGGCTGCGTTGCCCTGACATTGCAGTGGCGCCAGCGGCAGCTCCTTTCTGTTTGCGACACCTTGGGTAATAGTCGCCCTATGACAAGATTGTGTGACTATTAGTGGGTGGGGACAGTTCTGGGATTAGGCTCTGGAATGGTGAAAACAAGATCTGGGCCTCCCCCTTCTCCTCCTCCCAGTCTAAATGCCAGAATAATGGAGAGCTCATCTGTGAAGGACTCAGAATGCTTTCTTCAAAATCAGAAGGTGGTGGTAGCTGAGGAAGCTGGGGGTAAAAATCAATTCATTCTCACTGTCTTCCACTTAGGAGCAACAGCTTTTAGTGATATGATCAGATGTCTAGAAATTGCATTTTAGTTCTTGGAGAAGTTCAGTCACCACGCAGATGAACCTTGTATCAGGTTAGGCTAGGTTATGCTGTGGTAACAATGCCAAAATCTCAGTGGCCTAAAACTGCAAAGGTAACTCTCACACTACATGTCTAGGGTAGTCTGGCAGGCTGCTCTGCTCCTTGTAGGTGATTCAGGTAACCAAGCCCATGGAGTGCCACCATTTTGAGATCCTATCGTGTAACCATGAGACCAATACCCCCTATCCCCACCCCCTTCCCCAGTTGTGAAGTAAGCATGAAGAATTGTTCATGGGCTCTTAAATGCTTCTGCCTCAAAGGGATACATATCACTTCCACACACACTTCATGGGCCAAAGCAAGTCATACAGTCGCACGCAATTTCAGGATGGTTAGAAGGGCGATCTCTTCATATGCCTGGAAGGGGAGTAGAAATACTTCATTAAAAGAAGGGGAGGTAGTAATTTGCAATGATTCTTGAACAGCTTAGCAGTTGGAATTCATCCATTCCAGCAGTTATGCCCATATCTACTTCTTTGGTTTTGTTCCATGAACCACTAAAATGAAGTTCTTTTTTATTTATTTATTTATTTTTGTTTGTGTTGGGTCTTTGTTGCTACGTGGGGGGCTTTTTCTAGTTGGGGTGAGCAAGGGCTACTCTTTGTTGTGGTGCACGGGCTTCTCATTGCAGTGGCTTCTCTTGTTGCAGAGCACGGGCTCTAGGCACATGGGCTTCAGTAGTTGTGGCACGCGGGCTCTAGAGCGCAGGCTCAGTAGTTGTGGCACACGGGCTTAGTTGCTCTGCAGCATGTGGGATCTTCCCGGACCAGGGCTCGAACCCGTTTCCCCTGCATTGGCAGGCGGATTCTTAACCACTGCGCCACCAGGGAAGCCCCTAAAATGAAGTTCTTAATAGAAATTTTCCTCCCAGAATAATAATGGGAGTCAGGAAATCTAGACTCTGGTTTTGATGTGTAAATTTGGGCAAGTCAGACCTCTCTGAACTACATTTTGCTTAAATGGAGATTATAATATTTACCCTCTCTATCTTACTGGAGTACCAAGGCTCAAATAAAATCACACATGAAAAAATACTTTAAAACTATAAAGCACTTCAGAGGTTGAAAGTAAATTGCCTATAGGGACAAGAAGTGGTGTAAATGAGTGAAGCAGATTAGGTATGAGTTAATGAGTGGTGGGAACTATGGCAAACTAGAGAGCCCACATTCTGTTTAAAGACTAACTGCACTCATCTCTACCCTATTGCCATGTGGGACTGTGGGCTTGGTATTGCCATTGTTCCAATTTTCCTATAAAAGTCAGAAACTCTGACTTTTAAAATGTGAAATCTTCTGATTTTAAAATGTTGATAACTGATTTTTTAAAAATTGAGGACCAGATTTGGCCTATAGTCCTTCAGTTATTGTCTCTCCATTATACAAATATACGGTAGAAATTCAGGTTTTAGATATGCAATATGGTTCTTGTAGCCCTTGAGACCTGTTCTGAAATTCAAGAGTCTTGGAGAGGCTTAACATTAGGTTCTTAAAACCTTTTTTTATCATATCCCTCTCATATTGGTTCTCAGGGAGGGGGCATTTTGCCCCCAGGGGTTATTTGGTAGTTTTTGGTAGTGACAGCTTTGGGGGGAGGAGGAATATATAACCAAAGGAGCATTAGGTGATAAGTTGGAAGATCAGAGATTTAGCCCCAGTACTACTGATCCCCCTTTCCTGTGCGTTATCTTCTGCCAACTGCAAGTGAAGACTGTGTGAGACTTGGCCTGTGGGCCTCATTATGCCCACCCCCCATCCCACCCAACACTGCCTATTGCCAGAGTCCCTAGCTGCTCCATGAAAGCATTCTGCTTTGCTGCAATGCTGCCCAGCAACCTCTGTATCTGCCCCTTCATCAGTTTGGCAGCCTCTGTGAAAGTCACTGGTATTTTACTTGAATTGCTGCCCATTGGAACTTCACAAAAAGAAGTGACTGTGACAAGGTTCCTGCTGACGTCAGTTTTTAAAGGCCTTGACCCCTATCCGTGCTTTAAGCATTGGAGAAATATGTGGCTTCATATACAGCTGAATTCCGTGGTGGTTGGGAAATTCTCCATGTTGATGAATTTTACCCTCATTTCTTTGAAATTCAGTAATGTATTCTGGCCTCGAATACATGATTATAGACAAGTGACCTTTCCCCAATGAAATATCTGCTTTTGCAGATGGTTCAGGTTTTGTGTCCTGGGCTGTGTCCTCTGCTGCCATCTCGTGGCCTCTTTGCTGCCCCGGTCGAGGTCTCACAAAGGGCCTTCCCGCAAGGTAATGGCGTGTGTCATCGGCTTAGTTGGAGAAGGAGTTTCTGCGCATTGCCGGGCGTGCTCCCAAATCCCTCCCCTGCTGTGAATCCACCTGGGCGGCCACACATGCCGCTTGGTGCGTCTCGAGTAGGCTGGAGGCGCAGGGCCCTTCCGGGTCATTCTCAGCCCCTTGGGCCTCTATGTGTTATGCAATCCTGGACTCCAGCCACGAAATCAGTACACTCAACTATCCAGGAGTAATCGGAGCTGACCTCGCCTGCTTGGCCTGATGAATGCCCCGCAGCCTCTTGCCACTTGCCATCCGGGGCTGGGATATTCTTTATCTTAGTGAAAAGAGATGATTACCCCGTCAGGTTTCTGGATTTCGTTTTCTTGTCTAGGCCCGTTTTGGGTTGCTTTGTGTACATGCGCTTCATTCTTGACTTGCCCAGCGGTGCTGCCTCAATTTCGATGTTTGATTGCTGGATTGAGCAGGACGGTGGCAGTGTGTCACTGTTAGGCAGTGTCTCCTATAAATATGACAGGATCTGAGCACTGTAGTGATCAGAGGTCCATCTCCAGGGCACAGGGAATCTAGGAGACTGCCCTAGTAGCTGGGTTACTGGTGACTGAGCAGTGAGTGACTCATGCAGGAGGAAAGGCAGGAAAATTTTATTTGGTGCTAATTTTTTTTCATTATAATAATGTGTTTAAAACCTTCCAATTGTTAAAGTAAACGTGTAGAACTGTCCCTTAGTTGTTAACCCCACCTGTATGCTTTACACATGTTTGGCTTCTTCTGGAGAGCCCTGACTCTACCAGGCCCCCCTTATCCCTAACCCCAGAATTGGAGGAGGAAGGGGAAGAGGAAGAGGAAGGAAGAGAGGAGGAGGAGGGGGAGGAGAAACCGCTGCCTTTAGTGTTTGTTTTAATCTGCTTTTCCCTGTATAAAAATTTGGGGGGGCGGCGGGGCTTCCCTGGTGGCGCAGCAGTTGAGAGTCCGCCTGCCGATGCAGGGGACACGGGTTCGTGCCCCGGTCCGGGAAGATCCCACATGCCGCAGAGTGGCTGGGCCCGTGAGCCATGGCCGCTGAGCCTGCGCTCCGCAACGGGAGAGGCCACAACAGTGAGAGGCCCGTGTACCGCAAAAAAAAAAAAAAAAAAATTCACGGGTAAGGGCCTCCTTGTATGGCCTCCGCCATTTCTTAGGCTACTAAAACTGGTGTGCATAGCCGCTCTTTAAAATTCAGATGCCGCTTACTTAATGAGAGTTGTCTTCTGTTTCTCTTGTTTTTCCTTCTTTGCATACATTTTTTCAGCCATATTTATATTTTGTGTTGCATGTTATTCTTGATTCTACTTATCATCTGAATCTTTGGTTTATTTTTCTTATCAGAAACTTTTCCTGTGTTCTGTCCAGAGGGAATGAGTCGTCTTTGTTGATTCTTGTTTGTTTTTCCTTGCCTTTATAAAGTTTTCTTGTTTATAATATTTTTCCACAAGTCCAGGCTCCCCAGATATGATTTAATTTGTTTTGCTTCTTAATAATTATGTGCTCACTTTTTAAGGAAGATGCTCGCTTTATAAGGAAAATGCTTTGCACCCACTCTTATGCTTTAGGTAAAGTGAGAGGACTCAAAGTCATGGCATAAGAGAAACAGGATTGATGTCTTTGTAAATCTCAAAAATAATTATGAGGAAGAGAAGCTGTTCTTTGTGAACCTAAGAAGTGAAGCTGGATCCAATGGTTATGTATTATAGAGAGACCAGTTTTAGACCAAAAAAGAGAAACTGAACACCTTTCAAAAGATGAGCTGCTTTGAAGTTAGGCTGTCAACCTCTGGGTCTGTTTGAGGTGTTTTGTGCAGTGCGCTTCTGCACAGATAGGTTGTTGAAGCAAGTTTTCAAATATCATCTGAATGGTTGGAATAGATAACCTTTAATTTCTCCTCCAACACTAAGATTTGGTTTCTCAGCAGTGGTGGTGTTTTTTTAGTAGACCCATCCATACTCTCTAATCTGAATGACCGGTGCTGGGCGAAAGTGTAAAGTATTCCTCTAGTCCCTAGAACAGAGTTTATCAACTGTGGCACTACTGACATTTGGGTCAGATAATTCTTTGTTGTGGAAGGCTGTCCCTTGCATTGTAGGATGTTTAGCAGCATCCCCGGCTTCTAACCACTAAATAAATACGAGTAGCACTCCTCCCCTTAAATATGACAACTAAAAATCTCTCCAGACATTGCCAAATATCCCTTGGGGAGCAAAACTGCCCCGCCTTGGGGCATGAAAACCAATGCCCTAGAGAGATATGATCAGAAAGATTTCAAGAACTTAGTGTTTAACTTCTCCAAGATTCTTATATTTAAAAAGAACCTACAAAGACCTGCAGGAACCATATTGCACACTCAAAACCTTAAATCTTCTCTTTGTGCCCCCATTCTCCCTTCTGGATTTTCCGTCATTTTTTAAAAAATAAATTTATTTTTTTTTTGTTTATTTATTTTTGGCTGCATTGGGTCTACATTGCTGCACACAGGCTTTCTCTAGTTGCGGCGAGCGGGGGCTACTCTTCGTTGTGGTGTGCAGGCTCCTCATCGTGGTGGCTTCTCTTGTTGCAGAGCACGGGCTCTAGGCACGCGGGCTCGGTAGTTGTGGTGCACGGGCTTAGTTGCCCCGCGGCATGTGGGATCTTCCCAGGCCAGGGATCGAACCCGTGTCCCCTGCATTGGCAGGCGGATGCTTAACTGCTGCACTACCAGGGAAGCCCCTGAATTTTCCATCTTAACTGGTGTTATCACTTGGTCATATAAGCTGAATGCTAAACTCTCCCTCATTTCCTGTAGCCAAATGCTCACCACACTCTATAGATTTTCTTCCTGCTCTTGAATCAGTCTTCTCCTCATCACCACCATCCTTGCCCTAGTTCAGGCCCCCACCACTTGTCACCTACTACAGAAAAAGCTTCCTAAATAGTTTCTGTGCTTCCAGGATCATCCTCCTGGAGGATCTTACACGTAGCCACATAAACATGACCACTTAGCTTCCCTGCTTAAAAGCTCTTCAGTCATCTCCATCCTATAAGATCAGCTCCAAGCTTTTTTAAATGGTGCAATGATCCCTGTGATCTGGCCCCCGCCTTTGCAGTGTCATCTCCACATGCCCTCCCTTGCACTATACTCTTCAGTGATAGCAATCTGAGGAAGGTGGCATTGGTGTGCAGCCTTAAAATTTTGTTTTAATTATTAATTAATATGTATGAGAAACACTTCCACCCCATCTTTGAGCTTTACCCTCTCCCTCTTTTTTTTTCTTTTTGATTAGCCCAAGGATGATGATGATGACAGCAATGACTCAGTGATGGGCGGGGTGGGGGTCAGGGCTGTTTGTTGCTCACATTAATAAGAAGTCAGAACAATTAAAATACCAGTGATAAGTCAAAGCCATGTCATGTCAAAATAGCTAAGTCGGGCTTCCCTGGTGGCGCAGTGGTTGAGAGTCCGCCTGCTGATGCAGGGGGCGCGGGTTCGTGCCCCGGTCCGGGAGGATCCCACATGCCGCAGAGCGGCTGGGCCCGTGAGCCATGGCCGCTGGGCCTGCACGTCCGGAGCCTCTGCTCCGCAGCGGGAGAGGCCACAGCAGTGAGAGGCCCGCGTACCGCCAAAAAAAAAAAAAAAAAATAGCTAAGTCAAAACATCTCACTTTGGCACATATGTTTCTTTCTTTTTTTTTTTTTTTGGACCTTAGTAATATTTATTATTGCAATTACAAATAATGCTGCATTGAACATTCCTATACATGCATCTTTTCATACATTCATAGTATTATCAGCAGGTTCAATTCCTAGAAGTAGAATTCTTGGGTCAATGGCACATATGTTTCTTACTTCTATGCCTTATTCAAGCTGTTGTAACTAGTCCTAACCCCATATTGCTAACTGGTACTGTTTCTTTAAGACTCAGCTTAGTCTTCACCTACTTTGGGAAGCTTCCCTGACCTCTCCCATCACCACCAAGACTGTACTCTTACAGTGCTCTACACACAGTTCTATACGTATTGTGAAGAGGATCAGAATGCACCACCCCAAAATGTGCCACATTGGCATGGGGATTGTTTTTATTGGAAGACAAATAAGAAGCAGCAAACTCAGAAAATGCTCTCTGCCTTCCCCCCTATCTGAGTAAAAATGGGATGTAAATTTCCCTTTGTGAAGGTCTTCCCCGCCCTCTCTCATAGCAGGAGGAAGAAAAACAACCATTACACTGCAGACAGAGAGTCAGCACCATGAATGGGTCTATACAAACAAACCTTACTAAAATCACACTTACCTTCCATCACTTTCCCCTATATACTTACTTTCCTTCAATCTACGACCCCTAGGAGCCCAAAATGCTTTTCCTTTGTCTTGTCACTTCTCCACAATTTCTCACCCTTTGTTAAAATGGTATATAGGACTTTGCTGGTAGCACAGTGGTTAACACTCCGCCTGCCAATGCAGGGGACACGGGTTTGAGCCCTGGTCCCGGAAGATACCGCATGCTGCAGAGCAACTAAGCCCGTGAGCCACAACTACTGAGCCTGCGTGCCACAAGTACTGAAGCTTGAGCACCTAGAGCCCATGCTCTTCAACAAGAGAAGCCACTGCAATGAGAAGCCTGCACACTGCAATGAAGAGTAGCCCCTGCGCAGCAATGAAGACCCAATGCAAAAAAAAAAAAAGTTATATAATACCCTGTGTCTAATCACCCCCGAGCCTTCATTTCTTTTCTGTGAAGATCCTCTGTATACATAAAAATTGAAATATTAACATCAAGTGAAATGTGTATGCCTTTTCTCCTGTTAATTTGCCTTTTGTCAATTTAATTTGCAAGCACCAGCTACTAAACCAAAGAGGGTAGAGAAAAGTTTTTCCTTCCCCTACAATTGAAATTATCATTTATGTGCCCACCTTTGAAGAGAGAACCGTGTTTTATTCATCTTTATAACCCCAGAACCTAGCTAAGTGAATGGCATAAGGAGACATTCAATACATGTTTACTGAATGAATGAATAAATTAAATCAGAAGGAGTCTTAGAAGGCATTCTACTCAACACAGAAACTCCTGTGCAACATTCTGATAGTCATTCAGTCTCTGCTAAAACATTAACAGTAATGGTGCTACTAGAGAAAATTACTCAAACATGGCAGCTGGTGCCACAAAAAATTCATGATCTCAAACTGCAACTAGATCCTAAAGGCAACCCCATAATACTACTATTGGCAGTTCTAAATTTCCACAGCTTCTACTTCAAGTTTTTTGTATTGTTTTGTTTTCAGTAGTTATTCTAAAGTGCGTCTGGAAGAATAAACAAATGATAATGAAAGAAAAGGAAGGAAGGAAGGGAGAAAGAAGGAAGAACTGGCTTCTAACAAGAAGAGTAATAAGGTGAGACTTGGTCTATCAGTTATTAATGTGTATTATAAAGATGAAAAATTAAAACATTATGGTATTGACATCAGAATAGACAGATGAATGGAATAGAATAGAGTCAAAAAAAGAGCTCAACTCAAGTATATACAAAGATTTAATATATTTTAGTAGCACTATTTCTTATCCATCAGTTAATCATAAACTAATTTTTTTCAATAAGTGATGTTGGAATAACTGCATAACTATTTGCAATAAGTTACACTTCTGTCATACTCCATGCACCAAAATAAATTCTAGACTTAAATGGAAAAAATCAAAACCATAAAAATATGAGAAGAAATATAGGTAATTATATAACCTGGGGCAGATGAGAACTTTTAGATATAACACTAATAGCAGAAACTTAAAAGAAAAAGATTGATTTTACATTAAAAATTTTAGGCTTTCTATAAAAAAAATTACAATAAAGTTCAAATGTAAATTTAAGAAAGGATGACTGAGAGTAACATATAGCTAAAAGATTGTTAGTATTAATATTGAATCTTTTCTTATAGAAAAACTGATAAAGACAAAACAGCCAGTTTACCAAATAAAGAAATTTAAATGGCCAATAAATCTATGAAAGATGATATATATTAATAGTAGTTAAATAAATACAATTTATTTATATTTTTGGCTGCACCTTGCAGCATGAGGGATCTTAGTTCCCCAACCAGAGATTGAACCTGTGCCCCCTGCAGTGGAAGCATGGAAACTTAACTACTGGACCACCAGAGAAGTACCTAAATAAATGCAATTTAAAACAGTAAGATGCCATTTTGTGCCAATCACATTGTTATTTTTAAATGCATAAAACCCATCACTGGTGAGTGTGCAAGGAAATAGGCACTTTCTTATACCTCTGATAGGACGGTAAATTGGTACAACTGTAATGGAAAGCAATTTAACATCTTGTATATACAGGTTAAAAATTACCTACCCTTGGCCCAGCAATTCTGCATCTAGGAATTTTCTGCAGGAATACTTTTGGACATGTATAAGGAGTTACCTATTGAAATGTTCAGTACAGCATTAATTTTTCAAGTACAAGCAGTTCTAAATGTCTAACAATAAGGTAGTTGATCTTTAAAGTATAATAAATGTAGAGATTGAAATATTATACTATACTATACTGGCATAAAAAGACTAAAAGATGTCCATGGTATATTCCTAAGTGGAAAAAAAAAAAAAAAAGCACATTGCATCATTGCATCCAGTTAAAAAATGGCAAAAGTCTTGAATAGACATTTCTCCAAAAAATTTGCAAATGACCAAAAAACACATGAAAATGATGTGGCACATCATTAGTCATTAGGGAAATACAATTCAAAACCACAACAAGATACTACTTTACCACTTCACAGCTACTAGGAGAGCTATAAAAACAACAGCAACAAATGGAAAATGACAAGTGTTGGCAAGGATGTGGAGAAATGGAACTCTCATGTATTGCTGGTAGGAGCGTAAATGCTGCTGTGGAAAATAGCTTGGCGATTCCTCAATAGGTGAAACAGAATCGTCATATGAGCCAGCAATTCCGCTCCTAGGTATATACTAAATAGGTGTTCAAACAAAACGTTACACATAAATGTTCATAGCAAAAAGATGGAAACAACTCAAATGTCCATCACCTGATAAATGGATAAACAAAATGTGGTATATATCCATATAATGAAACACTTCTTATTCCACTATGTACAACATGGATGAACCTAGCAACTATGCTAAGTGAAAGAAGCCAGACACAAAAGGTCACATATTGTGTGATTCCATTAATATGAAATATCCAGAATAGGCAAATCCATAGAAACAGAAAGCATTTTAGTGGTTGCCAGGGGCATGACTACTTAATGGCTATGAGGTTTCCTTTTGTGATGCTAAAAGTGTTCTGGAACTAGATATTGGTAATGATTGCACAGCACTGTAAATGTACTAAATGCCACCAAATTGTATATTTTAAAATAGTTAAAATGGTGAAATTTATATTATGTGAATTTTACCACAATACAAGAAGTGCATTACAAAACAGTAGCTATAGTTTGTTTTGTTTTTCTAGAAGTATATGCATAGGAAAGAAAGTGTAGAAGGGTAAATATCAAACTACTCTGGTCATCCATGGTTGTCATTTAGGACTAATGTTCTAACTTTTCTACAGTAATCCTCAATTACTTGACTCCTTTTTAAAACATGCTATAGAATAATATTTAATGAAAGAGAGGAGCGTTCATCATGGAATGCCCTCCAAGTCCATTCATGTTGCTGCAAATGCAAATTTTCATTCTTTTTTTAAGGCTGAGTAGTATTCCACTGAACATTTATACCATTTCTTCTTCTTTGTTCATCTGTTGATAGACACTTAGGTTGCTTCCACCTCTTGGCAACTGTGAATAATGCTGCATTGGGGTGCATCCAAACCAGTATATTTGAACAAAACCAATTTTATTGTAAAAACACACATATTGCATAGAACAAAAACCTACTGGAAGTATATATGCCAACATATTAATGGTTATATTTCAGGGGGTGATTATAGGTGAATTTTATTTACTTTTAAAAAATACATTTTCGAAATTCTTCCAGTGAATATGTGTATATATATATATATAACCTCCACAATCTGGGTTTTAAATATTATTTTAAAGTTTTCCTGGAGGATACATGAGCATCGTGGTAGTGTGAGAAGCTCCCTTTGTCTCACCCCTTCAATTTACAACTAGTAAAACATCCCTAACTCAAGAAAATTTCCCTACCCAACACAGCAGAATGCTAGAGAGATCCACACATCTGCATGTGAAGGTGGGTGCATTGGAACACATAGAGGAGGCAGAAGTGGGGGGAACAGCGGAGGCAGTGCCCATGATCCCAGCTCCCCGGCCACAGCAGCTGAACCCGGAGCCCCAGAGAACCCTGTGGCAGGAGGAGGGACAGCAGACACAGCTTCAGCCTCCTGGCTGCACCAGTGCCTATGGGTGCAGGAAACTGGGCAGCAGCACTGGTGAGGCCAAGACTCAGTCCTTCCAACCGTGGTGACGCCCACAACTCTCCCTCCCTCCCCCACCCTCGCCCACTGCAGCGGCGCCTGTAAACCAAACAACCCCAGACATGGCGGAGGTGCCCATGACCCTGGATCCCCACCAATCCTCTCCCCTCACTGTGGTGGCAATGCCTGCAACCCAGTCAACCCTGGACAAGGCAAAGGTACCCGCCATCCCAGTGCCCCTGGTGGCGACGCCAGCAACGCCAGAGGCACAAGCAGCTATGACAAGGGCACCAGTGACACCTCTGGCAGAGGCAGTGGAAGATGGAAAGTGCCGATTCTCAAATATAGAGCAAGTCAGGTAAGAGAAACCAAAAACTTGTGCTATAGCGCCACCTACTGAAAAACAAAAGAAAGGCCTTCTAGTGACCAATCTGTTAAACTGTTAAAATCAAAGTAAACAAAACTACCTAAAGAAGAAAGGTTTTCGCTACTTCAGATACGCTGGCAGAGGACCAATTCATCAAGCACCATAAAAGAAAACATGCTAACACAGTATCAAAAAAAAAAGAAAAAAAAAAGAAAATGACAGGAGACTTCCGGGAAGATGGCAGAAGAGTAAGACGCGGAGATCACCTTCCTCTCCACAGATACACCAGAAATACATCTACGCGTGGAACAACTCCTACAGAACACCTACTGAACGCTGGCAGAAGACCTCAGACCTCCCAAAAGGCAAGGAACCCCCCACGTACCTGGTTAGGGCAAAAGAAAAAACTAAACAGAGACAAAAGGATAGGGAAGGGTCCTGCACCAGCGGGAGAGAGCTGTGAAGGAGGAAAAGTGTCCACACACTAGGAAGCCCCTTCGCGGGTGGAGACTTCGGGAGGTGGAGTGGGGGAGCTTGGGAGCCGCGGAGGAGAGCACAGCAACAGGGGTGCGGAGGGCAAAGCGGACAGATTCCAGTGCAGAGGATCGGGCCGACCGGCACTCACCAGCCGAGGGGCTTGTCTGCTCGCCCGCCGGGGCGGGCGGGACTGGGAGCTGAGGCTCCGGCTTTTGTCGGAGCGCCGGGAGAGGACTGAGGTTGGCGGCGTGAACACAGCCTGCAGGGCGTTGGTGCGCCGCGGCTGGCCGGGAGAGAGTCCGGGGAGGGGTCTGGACCTGCCGAAGAGGCAAGAGACTTTTACGTCCCTCTTTGTTTCCTGGTGCACGAGGAGAGGGGATTAAGAACGCTGCTTGAGAGAGCTCCAGGGACGGGCGCGAGCCGCGGCTAAGAGTGCGGAGCCCAGAGGCGGACATGGGACGCTAAGGCCGCTGCTGCCGCCGCCAGGAGGCCAGTGTGCGAACACAGGTCACTAGCCACACGCCCTTCTGGGGAGCCTGTGCAGCCCGCCACTGCCAGGGTCCCGGGATCCAGGGACGGCTCCCCGGGAGAGCGCACGGCGCGCCTCAGGCTGCAGTGTCACGCCGGCCTCTGCCGCTGCAGGCCCGCCCCGCACTCCGTGACCCTCCCTACCCCCCGGCCTGGGTGAGCCAGAGCCTCCGAATCAGCGGCTCCTTTAACCTCGTCCTGTCTGAGCAAACAACAGACGCCCTCCGGCGACCTACACGCACAGGCGGGGCCAAATCCAAAGCTGAGCCCCTGGGAACTGTCAGAACAAAGAAGAGAAAGGGAAATCTCTCCCAGCAGCCTCAGAAGCAGCGGATTAAAGCTCCACAATCAACTTGATATACCCTGCATCTGTGGAATACCTGAATAGACAACGAATCATCCCAAATTAAGGAGCCCTGTGGATGAAAGGCTCTTGGTGCTGCAGCCAGGACTCAGTGCTGTGCCTCTGAGGTGGGAGAGCCAACTTCAGGACACTGGTCCACAAGAGGCCTCCCAGCTGCACATAATATCAAACAGCAAAAATCTCCGAGAGATCTCCATCTCAACGCCAGCACCCAGCTTCACTCAACGACCAGCAAGCTACAGTGCTGGACATCCTATACC